TAGATAGATAGATAGATAGATAGATAGATAGATAGATAGATAGATAGGTAGATAGATGGTCTCACAAAGATTAAGGTTAATTTACTTCAATTAAATTGTTTCTTGTAAATGAATAGGCAGCCCATTGAGACACATAAGCACAGGCTTATTTTAGGTTTCTATTTTTCTCTACAGCTGGTAAATTGGCATTACAGTATTCATAGCAAACAAATTGATGTAATTTTATGTCCCTTTTTTTCTTTACTTCCATTCGCACAACCCATATTTCCCCTGGAAACAACTGAATTAAACCAAATCAATCAAACAGGCAGTAGGATTTCATGTTTATTACTGATAGAGGGCCACAGAACAACTGACTATTGAGCCCTGTACAAAAGATCATCTTCACCGACTGCCGCATCTGTGTGGACAAAAGGCTTTTGGTTTTCCAACAGAGCAGATGATGAAGTGGAAGGGGAGTAACATGCCGTTCTCTTTAGGCTGGCTTAAACATCAAAGATTAGGTTCCAAAAAGAGGACTAAATATAAATAAGCTCACATCTGCAATTCTAGCCTTCAAGCCTTCTAGATTCTGTTTGCTGTGCAATTTTGATATAGTGGTTTAATATTGCACACAATTTTTTTTAAACTTTCCATTAAAACTGCACAAAAGGTGTGGCCAAGTGGCTTTACATGACAGGCCGGATTCATTAAGTCAAACATAAAGAAACCCATATGTCCCATTAGGGCTAGAGGACAGACAGTGTTTTCTCTCTATCACCGATTTTCATGCAATAATAAATGTGGAGTTTACTGTTTTGCTCAAGATCACTTTGACATGTGGTCAGGGGAAGCTTGGGATCAATCTACCTATTTCATGACCGGCAGCAATCAACCACATCCACTGCAGCAGTCTTCCAATTTTCACCTTCTCTGCTTTGGATGGGTTCTTTTCAGACCAGCCTGCACCTGGCTGTGCACGGTCCATGATGATTAATCAAGCAAGTAATTGGCAAGTGGAGCTGTTAGCATGGCAACTCTGTACTGTACATATGTGTGTATGCCTGTTTTTCGGAAGTACACACATCCTTAGCCCTATTTGTCAGGGTTTGGAGAGTTTTTTTTTTTTTTTAACCCTGATGACCTGTCCTTGAGTAGGACATAGAACAGAATCTCCAAAATTTCACTCTGGTTGCCCAGGGAACATTATCAATTTGAAAAAGTATGAGGTAAAATTTGGATGAGTTGATGTCACCAATGTAGGCCTTCATCTTAGATCGAATTAAACCAATCATAACCATGCATCCATGCCTGGTTTTGTCCCTTTGATTTGGGAGAATTTAAAGGAATCAATCCAATGAGGTATCAAATTCCATGAAGAACACCTGAAGCTTGTTTCGCAATGGGGTAAGCCATACCACTCCTGCAAATGGAGGCAAAGGCTCAATCCTGCTATACGTTTTTTTTTCTTCTACAAATGACAAACTTTTCCAACAAAACACTGCATTTTAAAATATCATGTTTCAAACTTCAACTAAACCTCTCTTAAATCCTCAGAGGTGATTGAATAGATCAATTCAGTTACTTGTTAGCACTATCTTCAGGGAGCACAAACTTCCACACTGTATAAACTCTTGTTGTGCATAAAAGCCTGAAAAACATTTTTGCCAACAAATGGTTATTTAACTCTCAGCGCAATAATGATGCAATATTACCTTGTTGACACCATCAGCCATTGCCTGTAGTGTAAGCTCCCGGGGTCCGTCCACTGTCTTGCCATCATCAGTTGGTCCCCAGCTAGCACTATAGATGTCTATAATCTGAGGCATGTGACTGATGGATGATGCTTCAATGATGTCTGTCATAAAGGGCTGGTCTAGCATCCTGATACCTGGAAGAGTAATGGTCCCGTTTGTTGTTGCTGGAAAGTACAATGTGCTGGCAGCATGCATTCTTTGAATTGTTACAAGCGTGCAGTCCACACCCCCGGGATGTCAGGAAAGTGATGTCTGCTTTGTAGTCTTACACAATTCAAACAGTTTTTATTATTTATTCTTTTCAACATTTCAAGAAATATGTGGATGGCAGAGTTCCCAGGATTAGTGTTGTTGTTTATAGAAGTTTCTACTCAATCACAGTCATCTGTAGTAAATGGGAAAGGAGATGCATCACAATGCAACACCATTTTCCCACAACCTGTATTTTACATAAGATGCTTTTAGTGCCTCCTTCAGTAAATCATATTCATCAGGCCTCTGAGCCTTTCAGCACTATTATCAGGGCTGTTATTTGACATGAATGTTTTCTCGGTGTCATTCTTCTCTTGTGCACACAGCAGGTTTTATATGATTCGTACCTGCCACCTTGGAGTTGTAGGCAACGCCTACACCACAGATGTTGTTATTGGCGGCTGCGGAAACCTCCCCGGCACACCGAGTGCCATGACTGATGACAGAAAAATGAAAATAAAAGAGAAGAAATCAATGGTTTTCTATGAATTTGTAAGTAATGTCTTGTAGGGTAAGTCTAAGCTAAGATTTTGTAAAGTGGAATTGTTGACTTTGTGTCAGACTTGAAAGACGATGTTCATACCAAAATCTATTATTATTGGATTTTCATATCTTTCATTTTTATAGCTGCCATAAATATCGATAGAAAATCTTTCTAAACATTTTTTTTTATCCCACAAACATCAGCTTTGCAAAAAATAGCACCATTTCCATCTAAATGACTGGCCTATGGTATGTTTGCACATATCACAGTTTAATGCTCCCCATGTTGTGTGTCTCGATCTCTCCCTTCCTTCGATCCCCACAGGGACACTGCAGAGTCAACCCCTCTTCCCAGCATGCTTTGCAAAAGACAGGCAGCTATTTATAACAACCAACTGATTAGCCAGCGAGAATTGCCCAACAGTCAGCAACTGCTACTATACCAAAGCACCCCCTTCTCAATCCTACACACAGAAGCGCGCGCACACACACACACACGTATATGTCTGGACAGAGGGAGTAGAAGAGAATGAATAGATTTGTCTTTGCTCATGTGCGTTGAGCATTTTCGCAGCCAGTAGATCACAGTATGATGGAGAGATGGGGGAGCAGATACGGTGTTATCAGACAGAAGGTCACCGCTAGGTACACTTTTGCCTAAGAGGAGACTAGACTTGTGATGGTCCTCTTATATCTAGCCTATCACTTCAGAGTGAGCATTTAGAATAGGCGGTGTTTTCTTTTGTGCTGCACTGGACAATAGCTTTGTTTATACAGAACCATTATATCGTAATGGAACTACGTTGAGGGAAAATCAATAGAAGAGAGCTACCAGGCTCCAGGGAGAGCACACACACATTTGCGCACAAAAACAGTTTGCATATATATATAAACAGGGGCTCTCTGGACTAACGTTACCTGTTGAACCAGTCATCTGTGTAGCGTGGAAATGGAAACGGGTCATTGCTGCTGAAGTCATAGCTGGCATCAGCATTCTGAAAAAAACAAATGGATCCATTTTCAAAAATAACACCATCAATGCAGGAAAACAACTAGAGAGAGGGTAGAGAATAACCAATCACACTGAAGGGTCGACCTTATCACAACATGTTCTGTCACCTGGGTGACTGAATTCTAACCATTAATTATCCACCATGGAGACAACAATTTTAACAAACCCCATTTCAATATCTGGATATTTTGAAGAATGTGCTATTTTATGTCGGGAAGTATCTTGACTTAGAGTTAGTTAGATTTAGTTAGAAAACATAGACAAAACCTGCTAATTTCTAACATTTTAATGTTCCTGCTATATCTATATGTCTTCAATTCACTTCAAAGATCAACGCAAGGCAGTTGTACAATATAAAGAATGTGAACAAGTTGTGTTTAAATCCTATTTCATACAATTCCAGTTCAGCATAACTGCACTGATATAATTCTATTATTATCCATTCTGAAAAACCTTGAACTGTAAATATTTTGTAGTGATCGGTTTTTACCCAAAAATACAATTTTTGAAGATTTTCATGTATTTTCTTTCCCTTTAAGTCTCGTATTGGGGAATTTTCAACTCACTAGGTGAGAGTAGATTTTAATTCAGACAATTTCACCAATTTTGTAGTTGTAGCTGAAACCATTTTTCTGGTTAATATTTATCATGTCTATTTAATTATGCCTCTTTGTGAACTCCTTCCTTCCTTCCTTCCTTCCTTCCTTCCTTCCTTCCTTCCTTCCTTCCTTCCTTCCTTCCTTCCTTCCTTCCACGCATGTGCTAGGGTCTTGTTAATGAAGTCGTATAATTTTAGCATGGTCATCCTTTCAAAGTTCACTAAGGTTGCTGTACTCAGCTAGAATATCTGTCACTCAGATCAGTGAAAGTGTTATCCATTTTGTTCTGCTTATCTAGAAACAGGTGGTGTGTGTGGTCGAGAGAATGGAAAAGCCAAAGCTTTTTTCATCAGCTGTACACCTAAACATATCAGATCAGTGTTCGAGACACTGTTTCTTTGGGGCTGCCTGCCAGCTATGCAGGCTGACATTTAGAGGGAATGACTCAGTCAGCAAAAGAAGAAGGCAAACAAAACAAGCTTATTGACTCTAAGGAGAAACATTGTAATTATGGAAGTGTGGAGAGAGAAGAAGTCCTTACAGCAACAGGGGTAACAAACAGAAGTAACCATGTAACTAGAAGTAAACATGTGTAGCTGCTCAAAGAGAATGGATTAATGGCTTAATAAAGGAGTTATACCCAAATGATTTTATCCATTTGTATGTGATCAAATTTAGTGTCATCTTTTATGTTTTTTTCTGTTGTTAAGACATAAAGAGGCAAAAGCCTGGTATTGCCATTAGACAGAAGAAAATTCTTTAGAGAGAATCCCAACAGTTTTTTTTCTCACATCAGAAGCAGTAACCTTTTTTTCTTCATTAAATGAAGTGAAAAGAGCTTAGCTACGGCAATAAATAACACTGACTTGGACCATGGATCATTTACTGGACTTCTCCAACTCATGTCTCTATCAATCAGACTATTCTTTCTATGCTTTCTTGTGTTCAGCCATGTACAGAGTAATTGATTTTGTTTGGCCTCAACCATCTAACCTTTCCCCAGCAACCCTTGGCTGTTCACCCTCTGCAGAGGAAATGGTCCTTAAGAGAGCAATGACTCAAACTCAAACCTGCAATTGTGAAGCGTGTGTTTAAGATTCAGAAATATCAAAAGTGTAATAATATTACCACACTGATGGTAGATCAATAAACTGTTTTCATACCTGGAGAAAATAACTCACAAAAAGATGTAAAAACAAGCAAAAGATGCAAATATTAACACAAATGACAGAAAGCAACACTGTTAAAAAATGAGAGTCAAGCCGCAGAATGAGATTTCCATTTTGACTTTCCACGGGCAGTTTCCATGATGTAATTATTAACACCTGATATACCAACACCACTACCGACACCACACAATGCTTCCCATATCTTGCTTCACATTGAGATGACGTTGGAAAAGCAGTAAGAGTATAGTCACACTCTTTGTTACATTGTTACACCAAACTGTGAGACGTGTAGCGGGAGTATATATATTTTTATATCTTTAATTCCCAAAATGAAAATGTTGCAACTGAATTGAAATTGAACACATAAAGGGAAATTAAAAAGGACCACATGTGCTTTTGTACATCCTTTATATATTTTATCAGACTCTGATAACACTTAACATAGGTAAAAATCACAACATTTTATTTAGAGGTCAAATAAAACTAAACAACAGACATTTTCATCTTGAGACAGAGAAAAAGTCCACCCACTGATGAATCCTACTGTTATTTAGTCCAAGTCTGTAAAACCAAAGAAGAGTACCAGTATTGATTAGGAAGTACAGAGATTAAAAGAGCAGCTACACGCTCTTGTGTAGACAAATAATCAAACTCTATCACTAAAACAAACCCTAATCTAGTATGTGTATCCTCGGCTACATTTGATTTAAACTAGATTCTGTAAGGATCTATTTATCTATGCAAAAACCATTAAAAGAGCTCTGACTATTGGCATTTGCAGATAAATGTACCATGAAATGGACCTGCCACGTTAGAAATTTCTCATCTGAAAACACACTGTTTTATAATTAATTCACCATATCAAAATGGACCTTATGAGCTGTTAAAACGCGATTATCAGACAAAATAGGAAATCTCAGATTTCAAACACAACCAAAAACATTGGACGTAAACAAACATTTGGTAGTGCAGAGCAGATAAATGCAGAGACTTCTCTCGCACACTAGATTCAGCCTGAAATAAAAGATGTGATAACCCAAAATGATATTTTATGTAATTTTGTATTCAGCTGATAGTAGGAGGTCTGCAAAACACCATGACAACGGAAACAAAACAGGATTACACACACAGCGTCATTCTCTTCCCCACTCGCTTTCACTCACACAAACACACACTTTGGTCTATGCACAGCATGATCCATCAATCCAGTGGAGCATGCTCCTGCATCACCACAGCTGAGTGTAAGTGTTATTTTTGGGTCATGGCTCATGTGTGTTCTCAGGCAGAGACATGCAAAGACAGGCAAACATGGTGGCCAGTGTACAGATACATGTTCACATAAATGACAAGACAATCATGCGACCCTCTTCTGAATGGAACTCAAAGAGTCCACGTGAGCTGAAGCTGAGGAGGTACAAAAAGCTCAAGGTTTCGGGATCATTACATCAAGAAGTGACTAAGACTACAAAGCATTAATTATCAAGATGCGATGTTCTGAGACCAACAAAGCAGAAGCTAAAAGCACAAAGACATCACACCCAATACAAACGCTATGGCGCACCCAAACTGAGCCGTTTTTATCCCGGTGTTCTATTTAACAATCTCTCTTGTCCTTTAAAGTTTTATCAGTATTCTGGAGATAAAACATCACATTATGCATCGCCAACTACCCTGGCATTATCTCTGCTTGTGACAGATCGGCCTGCCATTGTGCCTGCCACAGCACAATGTGCATAAACATTAAACAGCTTGGCTGGCCGCCTGCCTGTCTCTGCGTCCTCCAGGGATACAAGGAGATTCGCCAGCCTCGAAGGCAACTTGGAGAGCACCTGTCATTGCCAATGAGAAGTCACAAGAAGCCCCTAAAATCTACCACCTGAACCCAGCTCCACTTATTAACAGCACTTCAAAGGAATGAAAGAAATTAGGACATTCAATGAAACTCAGATACTCACATAATTTGATGCCAAGTCTGGATGAAGATAGTCAATACCTGAAATGTGATTGTGACATTAATCAGTGATATAATTGCACTTGAGAAGAAGTACATAATGAGTACATAGATGTTATCTCCCTGTTACCATGTTGCTTTTGGTCTAAATGACAACAAAACCTATTGTATCCAGTCAAAACACCAATATTGCTGGATAATTGTGTGTTAATATGCTGAGGCTGCAGTGGTAGCTTTATGTGGAAATGTATATTTTTAAATGCTATTGATATTATTCTGCTTTCATATTCGTTGATTCAGTACACACTATATTAAGTGAACACATAAAAAGTGTGTTTGCATGCTCCAAAGTACAGTACCTAATGTTTTAAAGCCAACTTAGTTGGTTCTGTGGAAGAAGACAGCAAAAAAAGACCTACTCGGTCCCCCTGGATCAATAATTGTGTTTCTACTGTTCTTTCTATTTTAAGTTAAAACCTCAGCAGCACATACTGCTCCAGAAATTCATTGACACATGGAGGGTGCGAGAGAGCTTTTGCTTTACACCAAGAGCAGTATACTTGGAGCTGCTTTCTCCTCTAAATAACATGGATGGGCGTAATCACTGCATAACCATTAATGGAGGGACATGCCTGTTGTGCTGGTGGAGCTGACAGCTATTCTCTCCCCTTCCCATTATCATGAATTCTGCCCAGATTCAGGATAAAATCATCATGACAAATATGCAGAAAATGCCCATTTTTTCAGTCACCATTCTTAAAATCAAAGGCATCTTTGCAACCTTCGATAGTATCAAGGCTATCATGACTTTGTGAACTTTCGAACACCAGTTTCAGGTGGATTGAAACAAACTTTTCTTTAAAGCAACACATCAAGCAAATGTATCCAAGTAACAAATGCTTTTTCTCATTTTAGCTAAATTGTTAAATAAACAATAACAGAAATTAATCAAATCATTTAGAGATAGTTCAGAAAAAGGGCTTACTACTTACCATCATCCATGATTGCGATGGTAACTCCTTTGCCAGTGTAGCCTAGTTGCCAAGCTTCAGCCACATTAAGATCCAGCCCAGGGGTCCCATCTGCCTGCCCTGTGTTTATCTAATCACACAAACAATATGGAGAGTATCCATGACTCATGGCACCCAGGTGAGCCACCATTAGGATATTAGTCAACACGAAGAATATGTGCATATCCAGGAGGGGGAAGTTATGGCTAAGGACTGCTTGAAGGTTAAAGAAAAAGGGGAAGTAAATGTCAGCAATATGGCATATTCATCTGACATACACAATGAATACAGCCAAGCTTGGAGCTGCGTAAAAGTCATGCTTGCCATTTAGGGGTAAACAAGACGGAGGAAACTATGCAGTGTGAATGTGAAGATTAGATTTTTTGCCATTGGTCAGGCTAATCTAAAAGTGAGTAACAACGTTGACACAAAGAGTAGTGTAGAAAATGCCTGGCTCTTTGGTAATTAAGGTAGGAGAATGTTGGCTGTTGCAAAAGGTCAGGCAGCATGCTGCAGCTGGCTGGTTTATTACTCACCAGATACCACTGTTTGGTGAATAGAGGATCGCTCATGTTGACTTCCATGTCATTGATATTTCTGTAGCCTCTCTTCTGACGACTGAAACCCTCTTGCTCGAAGACATTCTTTACCTTGGGAAGAAAGAAGACAAAGAAGAGGTTAAGGGGAGTTTATGTTGAATCTTGAAACTTGGAGAGCATTTATTAAAAAAATCATAAAAAGAGCAAGAAGAATCATAAAAAGAGCGTATGTTGTGGCATATTTGGTAGGGACAAGACTAGTTTTGTTTAAATGACTGAGATGTTGCTGTGTGCCAGTCTATGCCCATGGAATCAGAAAACTGAGGACTGCCAGTCAATGGGATTCTTATTTCTTATTTTATGAGGGTGGCTGCTGCTGGAACCAAGATTTCCAAACCAACTTGCCACAAAGAGACAGCCACCTTTTATTTCCAGTCTGCTTAAAAGCCTCAGCAATTACACACAATCACAGTTTTTTCTCCAAAACATAAAAAAACCCAAAGTGGATGAAAAGCCATGTTTTGGATTAGAAATGCTCTATTAATTTCTCCACAATATACTATGAAGAACTAGAAAATATCATTATAGAAGTTGTAGTTGTTACGAATTCTTGATTTTTGGGTTTGTGGAGTTTGTCAGATCCTCATTAGTTGTTGTCATCTCTCTTTTACTCTTTTTAGTGTTTCCTTCAAGACACACTTTTTCCTTGGCTTTTCATCATTCTTTAGTATTTTGGGTTTATTTAGTGTTGTTTCTGGTAAAATGGCCTGGTCACATCTTCTGTGGGTTTTATTGGTAAAACCCGTGTTCAGTCTCTTGTGCTCTGTGCCTGCTTCTGGATCCTTTTCTACACACTTCCTACTGTAACAGTTATGACTTATGAACAATTTAGAGGCTAAATCTAACCAGATATTCCAAATATTTCACCCAATAGAAAGACTAATAAACCATAGACTAATAATTAAATTATTCGCATTTGAAATTCTATTGATCCTTGATTTGGGACTTTTGCACATTTAAAACAAAAAGTCATATTATGAATTTGATATAACTGATTTAAAAAAGAGAGACAAAATGAAAGAAGTGACTTATTAACAATTGTAAGCCTGACATTTCCAATTTAGTGCAAACATTCTGCTTGTCAATTTGGCCAAAGATTTAGAGGCTTTTCTGTAATTGATTTAATGTGTGTAAGGTTGCTTTTACATTTTGAATATGGGGTTGTTCTTCCTTACAATGAACTATTAGCACTTTGAAAAAATCAATAGTGTAAAAGCGTAATTGACAAATGTAACTTCAATTTCATTTATATGAATCACGGAGGCTTAAAATGAGACAAAAAGATTTAAAAGCCACATCATGTAAACTGGTTGCTGGCCAAGTGCTCATCTACCCTCAGCAAATTCATTCTAGTGTGAGTCAGAAAACAGACATTGTCCACTGTATTTACCACCTTAGATAAGAGAGCAGATCAGCACTTAAGATGTCCTTCTAGAGCCTATTCATCCGAATGCCTCTTTTATGGTATACTCAAAGCAATCAGAGGGCGCATACACACTTTAAATCAACACATCCCTGAGTCATTTAAAAGCATTATCCCTTAAAATGAGATGGTTGAATTTGCTTTCAGAATAGTCAGAAGGATTTGACTCATTAGTACATCCTGGAAATAATCCTAGGCCCTATGTTACATCAATAATAAAATGTCATTCACTTTCAGAGAATTCTACACAATCCTTGGGTGCTCCCTTCCTGATTTCTCCATCTATCATCCATTTATTTCTATGACTTGGCAGAAGAGTTGGTGTTTCCCTTGAGATGGCGTGTCACGCAGCCCACTCAGAGCATCCAACAGTGCCCGTGTACCACCATCAATGCGCCGTTGCCAAGTGGCTGCTCACAATGCTTCATTTCACTTTAAATCAAAGGGCTGTGCTGCCTCTCCTAACTCCTTGTCATCACTTCCCTCCGGGCTTTCTCACAGGTGTTTGTTTGAGGGTTAAAAAATACCGCTCATTCACAGTCATATATCAAAATTTCCACATTTTACTTAAGTGTACTTCACCCCCACTCCCTACATTGTCTTGAGTAGATTTTAATGTATTTGTGAAGAGTGAAAAACAATTTGTGTGGGATAACGGATGGATAAATGAATGAAAGCACCGAAATAGGGATGCACAGACATCTTAGTTTCACGGTAAAAAGACAAGACAGGACAAGGTCATGTAAGCACAAGGAGAGATGCAAAGGAGCGGCACAAAGAAAAAAACTGGGTAAGTTAGAAGTAGGTCGACATGCTCCACTGATGCGGTTATAGAAATAACAATACTTCTCGAATAACATACTGCACTATGCTAGTTTCAGAACCTTTATTTTTAAATTAATAACAGATTACCACTAAATCTAACTCTTGGTTCAAAACAATTGTTCTAAAAAGTGGAAGTTAACTTATTCTAAATATATATCAACTTTTAGTCAGTGGAATATTGTCCACCACATAAATGCTTTTACTTTCTACATTTCTTAGATAGAATTTTTACATGTATTTTTAATCGCAAGAAAAATTCAAATGATCCTTTTTCCTTTACTGGATGATTTCATTTAATGTCCTTTGCCCACTCTCTGACTCACTTTTGGATTTCTACTGTTTTCAGAAGTAGGGGATCAACTTTCATCATTTATTCTTATTTTGTTTTCAATTCATTCCACCTCTCATCTCACTTTTTTCCAAATGAATTACCAATTCTAGTCCTTCATGAGCATTTAGAAACTTTCATAATATCTGTTTTGTTGTCTGTTTTGTTCTTCCCTAAAAAAAATTATATTAATTTTCATATTTTTCTGACCATGTCAAAAGATTAATTGAATTTAGTTTAGACTTCGAAATATAAACTAGAAAAATCTCATAATTCATGACCACTTCAAACATGTTGTGTTTGCAAAGCTTCCCACTGAGAAATGTCCTAAATGCAGAGGCTATGACGGTTACTTTTCCAGAAAACTTCCTTTTTAGTCTCATATTCTATTCATCCATATGACTGCAGCACGACAGCACGCCTGAATAACAAGACACTATACCAACCAGCCACATGCTAAAACTTCTGATCTTTTAAATTTGACAAATCCCTTTAACAAAATACAAAGTCTATTGTCTACTTGGACCAGGTGTAATTACAGTTTAAGATTTAAATCATATTATTTTGACAGCATAGCCTGTTAACAATATTACAATAAAAATATATTTAAGTTATCTAAAATATCATTCAGATATGTTAAGTGTCATAAAATCATGGATATCTAAAACAGGAACCATGTGCTCAATAAATGTACAATCTAATGATTTACTGCCAAAATGGCTTGCTTTAGTGTAGCAAACGGATCTATCCTTATATCTTTGTGTGCAGGCTCACGCCTCCAGGCTTAAAAACAACGAAGTCTGTCTAGTAGAATCAAACAGCATTTACTAAACTGAACAGTTTGTTCAGTTCAAAATATGAAGTTTACTTTGATGATTCCACAAGTTCAGGAAGCATTTGTTGCGAAACTTCTCATTTCGTGGAAGATTTTTTAAGTGATTAGTCAAAATAGGTGCTGATACCACTTACAAGAACTGTAAATGTGAGCAAAGATAAGCTTCTATACGTGTAATAGAAACAGTTTACTCGTGAGACATATATATATATATACAGACAGAAAACCAAAACGTCTGTACCACACATAAGCACGTCAATCATGAGATTAAAACCCAGCATCTGGGAAATAGACCTGTCTATGTCTGTGCTGTCTCATTCCAGTAGCTGAATTAGCTCGGTGGAGTGGCTCACATTTATTTTCATTAGCACCTCTCACAACTGCAATTAGGGAGGTCAGTTGATTGTCTGTAGCAGGACCTCTACTTTTACCACCCCCAACAGCGGACAGAGCTAAACACTGAGTGACGGCAGACAAATGCACACTGGAACAAACACATTCATTTGCAGCCTTTCATTGTGCAAACAGCCCAGTGCTTCAACACAACTATGCCAAACATTATAGACATACACACGTGGCAGGCAGACTTGGCAAACCAATACTAGAAGAACAATAGAATAGCAAAATTATTGAGACTACTAGTCTACTGAATAAGAAAAGGTGACGCAGGTGTATTGCCTAAATGCACAGAGCTTTCTGTGCAGTCCAACTGTTGCGTGAGGGGCGTGAAAACTATACAGATGAAAATTCTGATTGAGGGAAAACATTTGAAAATATCTATAGATTTATCATTGAGTCAATTGTTGCTGAGTCCATAACCATTTTTTGTGGTATTTTTAGCCACCTAAAAGGTACATTTCAAGCTTAAAAAGGGAACCGTTTAGGTATTCCTTTGCCTGAAATTACATTTGTTGTTTGGTCTACATTACATAAAGAGTAACCAACATTAATGCATAATTCGCTACATCTAAAAATGTCTACCACTACAAGAATACAATTACAATTTCTGTGGGAAAATGTAATTGAACTCAGACATATACTTTTTTTACAATATTGAAATTTTTGATTGAAAATAAAAGGTCACGTTTGTCATTCACCTTTAAAATTACAAATAATGTCACTGCTGTGAAACGGCTTGTCTTATTGTTTAAAGAACCTACAGACATTGAGCATAACTGTTATAAAAGAGATGAAAAATAATTCCAAAACCAACAAGTCTCCAAGAAAACATTTGTTAATGGTAACTTAGAGCTTGATACTGAATTATTCACATTTCTCAATCTTTTAGGTGCTCTAGTTGGTTAAAACCGTTGCAATTCCTGCATTACTTGACTGAAAGTGATTTAGAAAACATCAATAATATTCCACTGCGATGCAGCTTATCACAGTGTTACAGTACATCAACACCAGATTTCTGGTTGACAGCTGCTGTTTTAAGCGCTGTAATTATGCACACAATGCAGCACCAAACTAGATGTGGAGACCAATGATTTGCTATTGAGGAAGCTCCAGTAATTCAGTATCTGCCTGAACAAATGGGGAATGCATTGTACTTTTTACATGAAGAAGAATTTGGTCCAGCCTTGTAGATACTAAGTGCCTTTTTGAGCAATGTTCCCTTAACCATGTAGCTTTGTTTGCTTTTGTTGTATTTTAAGTCAGAGTATGTACAGCTAGCCGTCTTAAAGTTGAAGGACATGATTCTACATGGATACAAGCCTCAAAATAACCACTGTCATGCAGACTGAGTGGGAAGTCTAACTGCTGTAGGCACATGCAGAAATCTCAGCATTTCTGCTTACCCTTCTATCTTTCTGGAGTCGTTGTTTGATGCGAGTGCTGCGTTTGCTGCGCCTCTTTGAAGTGTCCTGAGGATAGAAGTGAAAGAGGCCATCTCCAAAGGGAAGCTGTGTTGGGAAAAAAGGAGGGAAAGAGAAAACGGTATCAGCAGAAGACATAGATATGAGAATAAGCATGGGAGAAGCAATCATAAAGTGTGAATAGCAAATCAAAATACAATAGACCATGAAGGCAGAGTAAGGACAGCAGGTCAGATCCAGATGGGCACAAGGGAACTGATTCCCCAGCATGCACAAAGGGTCTATTTTAAGACACAGGGGAACAGCGCTAGAATCAACCATGATAAATCACAGGGGCAGGAAAATGAGATGCATCATCTAGAGCTTTCCCTCCAGCGCCGTGCACAGATTAAAGACCTCCTTATGCTTTGGTAACAGTGAGGGTAGAGGTCAATCCACAATATAAATGAATTCAGATGAGTCCTGTCAGATCTAATGTGGCAATGCAATTCTCATGAAAAGGATGAAGGTTATAATTATCTTCCACAGCTTTTTAAAGTAAATGCTGTAGATAAAACCATGTGTAAGTAATTCAAACACAAAAATGTGTGAGATTGTGCTTCTGATGAATGCTTCTATTCAAAATTAAACTTTATTAAAAATGTCTGGTGCCCGATTTCTTCATGTTGAAATTTGATAGTTTTTATCAGTTTGGTGTCCAAGTTTAGTTAGTTAAGCAGGGAATGAGAGTAAATTTAAATGGCATGGGCAATGCTTAATGGTGCACATCCCATTATGGTAAATACAGCTGATGATTACATAACCTCTGAGACAATAAATGTTGGAGATGAACTACAACATCTTACAGCAGGTGATGTTGTGCACCTGCCAGACAGACATCACATTGAAATGATTTACAAATTGAAATTGCATTTATTGTGGGGCTAAAAAATAAAAACAACACAGAGAGAATAACCCTTATTCAGAGCACCCCAGACACTGTTCTGTTCAACGCTACGCCTCACTGACTAAGGCTCCAGTCAATTTCACCCACACATTTATTTTGACATGTGACGAGGAACACACACTGGAGGGGAATTATTTCCATCGTCCACCATAAACAGCTCGTTAAACCTTTCAGTGTGTTGTGCCAGATATGCTGCATTCCTCAAGCTTTTTAAGATAACTGTCCATCACGGGCATCTTTGTAAATACTCAATGAAATCGGTCTACAAGAAAAGTTGTTTTCTTTCTACGTTTGAAAAAATGTGCACTTCAGGTCAGTGCCTAAAATTTAACCCTGGGTGTTTTTTTTTCAATTAATTTGATGAAGAGATAAAAATATTTTAACAAAGCGGTTCTATGAGAGTGAAAAGGTCCTACTACTGATTCATGTAGTGAGAGAAACCTGTCAAATCTGATATTTTACTTTTTCACAGAAAAGCTGTTATTTAGAAAAAAATGGTATGGACTGTTTTTAATTGACCCCAACCAACGGAAAACCCAATAGCCCGGGCCTGCATTTTAATGATGTCATCAAGTTAAGAGTTACTGGATTCAAGTTGACTCAGAAGAAAAACCTAGCAAGCTCAAAATATCTTCAATGGTAGGCTGGCCTTACCATTTAACATGTCAGACTATTCTGAAGAAGACAAAAGAATCGAACGCTCCAAAACAGGCTGACATGTTTTCAGAAAATGTTGATTTGCAATGATAAATCATCAAGTCAGGAATGGTTTACCCAGAGGACAAATTATGCTTTCAAAGACAGTTTGATCAGAGCGTCCCCACCTTTCGTGCACTCTGGAACCCATGTTGTGCTGCAAGTTGGTGCGCCTCATCCTGTGCGTCCTCGTGCAACTGAACCAAAAGATGGTCCGTTACTGCTTCTGCAGCCGGCGTTGCAAACAGCATCGCGTTCAGCAACACTATAAATCCCACCGCTGTCCCATGACGGGGAGATCCACGCATCGTGTCTGGCTCGTGTCAGTCCTCGTCGGAGTAAATCAGTGTGCGGGATGCTCCTCGTTAGAAATGGGAGGAGGAGGAGGAGGAGGAGGAAGAGGTGGTGAGTGCAAAAAAAAAAAAAAAAGGATTCGGATCAACGCATCTGTTCGTCGACAGCTGATGAGACCACTGGAAGTTAGATTTTCCCGAGATGAAGGTGCTCTTACAGAGTGCTTCGACTGGGGCGGTTTTGTGTTGTGGACCCAGGCTGCATCCTCAGTTTTCTATTTCTCCTCCTCCTCATCTCATCTGTAATTCATTTACCTTCTTCGGATAGTCTCGTGCGTGTGACGTTGTACCAATGGGCTCTGGCGGGTATGTGCCGCTGTTTTCCTCTCCCGGATGAGCTCGGGGACACTTCAGCACCTTGGAGAATTCTTCAGTGTTGATAGGAATTTAATTGATTCGTAGGGCACTGGGGAGATGGCTTCAACCGAGACAGAAACACGTCCGAATAATAGCCCAGGGAGGACTAATGTTCCCCATGGTGACCTTTTCTAAGGCATGCCACCATATTTGCATCCTCCAATAGTTTGGTAAAACACAATTCTATAATGCTTCTTCTCAGCCTACAGGTCTGTCACTTCAAATACATCTGCTATGACCTTATTTCCAGTAAAGAAAAGAAAAGAAAGTAAGAACAGCCCTCCTGGACTGTAATTGGCCTTTTGGAGGTGAGCAGATGGCAGCAGCAAAAGGAGTGCTATTCCAAAGGGATTCTCACTAAAGTAAACCACCTCCAATGCCCTCCTCCTGTTCCCCTCAGCATGAAGCGTGGGCTGCTACCAGGTAAAGTAACCATTATGTGCATGTATGAGAAAGTACATACCGAAATGGAGAACAGAGCTCATACGAAAAGGGGTGCAAGTGCTTTCCAGATGAAAATTGAGAGTTCCTGCTACTAATACCCTTTTGAAGTACACAGTCAGGAACTGACAGCGGTCACCTAATGAGACGGCCCATTGCATTGGCCTAAATAATGTCCCAAATGAACTGAAAATAGTTTTTATTTGTTAGTTTTTCCATACCTAAAAACTTTACTTTGTATGTTATTTGCCATGTTTTAATAATGTAACCCAGAGCAAACATTAACAAGAGTACATTTCTCATGTTAATAATTGATAAGAATAAAATATTTAGTACTGCATAAAAACCATGAGGAAAACTAATGAAACCACATATCCAAGGAAGAATATGGAGAGCTATTAAGAATATGCATGTATTCTATTATCTTGGTTTTGTACTCAAAGTGCTCAATTCTGTTATTCCTCTGTGTAAGTGTTGTTAGTCCATCACCATAACGTGGATGTTTAGCTAAAATCTAAAATGTATGGGAAATAACGAAGGTGCATTTGTTTTAAATGAATGCATTTTATTAATGACAATTTCTCTGCTCCTCACAGATCTCCTCCCTCACTTGTGCCATGCTGTAGCGCCAGGATTATTCATTTAGTTTACTGGGCAAAGCGGTGTCCTGTTCTCTGCTGCAGAGTCTGAGTAATGAATCAATACTCTGCTTCTAACTGCTTTAAACAACATGTTGCATCATTAACCCCCCCAAAAAAAACAAATGGAGTAAACATATCGCTTCTTCATCTGCTTTAGGAAAGTGTGTGAGTTAATGAAACAGGGATTAGTCACCCACTTAAACTCTTATACTGTGACATTATATTGCTGAAAGATGAGAACCCAACATTGTGGACAATTGAGAATTTAAAAGAAGGTTGTCTCAACAACCTCTTCCTTGAAAATGGAAGGAATTATTGAAACTTTAGTAAGTTACGATTAACTTCAACTTCAATCTCCTACCCCAGAGAAGATTGCAGGTTCAAGATATATTAGAAGATACATTAAAATCACAAAGCAACAGTTTGCAAAAAAAACAATCAAACAAGAAAAACAAAAACTATATTTTACAAACTAAGCACAAAAAATGTCTAAAAGGTTTAATGTGACATTGTGAAACAGGTCATTTTTATGTTTCAGCTTTTTAAGTGACTTAGCTAGGCTTGACAAAATACTTTTAAAAGTATTTAAAAGCATTTTTTTTTTTAACTTCACCAAATATTTGTTAAAGAACTAAAATATATATATAACTGAAGATTATGAGTAAGGTCAACAGATTAATTTCTGGAGGCTCTGGAGGCCTTTGGAAATCAAATTGCCCAAGTTGTTTGAATTTGTGGATGTGCATTGACAGTGTCGGGAACGGGTATGAGAAAAATTAATCTTAAATTTTTCATATTTGCCTGGGGCTGAAGTGAATGCAGCTGTTTGTCAGTGTTTGTGTTCGAGCAAGAGATTAAGAGCTACAGGCTGATACTCTGGAGATGATAAAAAATGGACACACTAAAATGCATCCATTAAAACAAAGTCTTTGAAGCCTTTATCAAAACCTTTTCATCAGACAAGAGAGAAAAAGATATCGGTCTTCCATCCCGCACGTTGTAGCTTGTCTTAATTGCTGAAATTGAATCAAATCTTTTACGTTTAAGCACATTACTTTATGTTTAAAATACACTGTTTATGAACAATTTATTACTGAAGATGCTAATTTGGAGGCTGAGTAAACATTTTATGTAAAGTGTAACAGTGGAAATGGAGCATGACCATGTGAACACAAGAGAGCGTGTAATTTTTTCTAAATGTAAGGCAAAAAGGAATAATAAAAAAAAAAGACAAAAGCTTAATGCCCTCCTTATCCCCCCGTGTGGCTA